CTCATGAGGAAAGTAGAACTAAAAAATGTTAAGTGATTGCCTGTCTCAAGCCATACACTAAGTGACATGGCAGAGTCTAAATTTGAGCCCAGTTTTGTTCAACTTCAAAATCCAGCCTCTTGGTTGATGGACACAGTAAGTTCTCCATGATTGTATCTAGACTGGGACACAGCTGCAATCTGAAACTGCATTCTAATTTAATAAATATGTGCTGTGCTATTAAATAGGAGGAAGAGCTTTAGAAATGAAGATATTTCTAGCATGAGGAAACTAACAGGTTAGTAAAGAAGATAAAAGGAAAACAAACAAAACTCTAAAGTAAAACTCTCTTGGTATAGGRGAACTGGCATCCTGAAAGGCAAGTTTAGTCTCTTGCAATTATGTCGCTTTTGGAGTCACATGCGCTTAAGTTACTGAGGAAAATATTTACTCTGGCCTTATGTATTCAGTTTACCTAGAAAAATACTTAGTAAATTCAGAACTTCAGTAGGGCTTTATACTTTTGCAAATATAAATGAAGTGATTTAGTGGAAAGGAGATGGACTTGATACTAGCAAACTAAATCATTTATGGTCTGAGCTATTTGTTTTGGGAAATTCACTTCAACTTTCTGAGTCTGTTCCCTCATCTGTCAGATGATTTAATACCCATATCAGTATCTGTGAGAATAAAATAAGACACATGTGGATGTTCTTGCTGTACTCAATCATCTGTCAGAAGATTGTGAGCCCAGGAAATATGTACCTGAAGGAGAAGTGTATGTAAACTTGTGGCTCAGGGTGGAGATGGAGCTCAGTTATGATTAGCAATGTAGGTAAGTGTTTCATTTTGTTTTAATGATGAAAACTATGGTTAGGGAGCTTGAGTCATTTGGGATGGAGCCGTAGCAGCAGAACAGGTTCAGTAGTGAAGTAGAGCAGGCTAGGGCTAGAAAAGCCAGGAAAGAAGACCTGAGTGGGGAAGTCTGGAGAAGTTTCAATGGATGTCTGGCTGGGACTGAATGCTCAGAAATGGAAGAGGAAGCTCAAGGAGATTGTCACTGAATAAGTACAACCAGAGGGCAAAATGGCTTGAACAAGCCAAATAATCATCCCTCTTCAATAACCCAAGAATGAGAAAATGTATAGGTAGAGGGTAAGGCAGATTCACAAAGAGAGTAAATTTTACCTGAGGAGAAAAATATGTTTTAAGAATTGAAGCAGTTATTCAGTCCTGGGCCATGACTGGTTAAAACCTATATGGTAGATTTTARTTTAATTGAGTGAATTAAACTCAATAAGAGAACAGAAACCATCTAACTGTAACAGCCTTATAACATTGGTGTCTGTTAGCTAGAACCAGGAATAAACCAATGACAACAATATATATATATTCCCCCCCCCCCAGGAATTGAACTCAGGGGTACTTAACCACTGAACTACATCCCCAGCACTTTTTATTTTTTAATTTTGATACAGGGTCTCTCTGAGTTGCTTAYAGTCTTGCTAAACTGCTGAGGGTGGCTTTGAACTCACAATCTTCTTGCTTCAGCTTCCTGGGCTGCTGGGATTATAGGCCTGAACCATTGCACTTGGCAAATAAATAAATAATTAAATAAATAAATAAGTGAGTAAATTTGGTCCATCAGGAACATAAAAGGGATGCCTCTGCTCTACATAAATGACCTCAAAAATAGAAAGAATTCCTTTTTTTTCTACCATAAACAACAACAACATTGAACTAAAAAGGTAAAATAAACTTCTTAAGAATAAACTGGAAACGAAGAGAAAAGAAGTTATAAGAAAATATCTTGGGTCTCTAAACCGTAACTCTTCTTATCCAGAAATTTTATATCTCAGCAAGGAGAGTTTACCAATTGCAACTAGAATCCACAGAAAGAGATGAACACTAAAAAATCGGAGATGGACAGATGTACAAATTTTCAAGAAAAAAACTGAAACCAAGATAAGAGACTTCTTATCCTGAAACCAAGAAAAGAGACTTTACAATGAACAAAATTAATAAAGCTATTATTAATGTAACAGGCATTTAGAAAAAAAGAAAGGAGTAATTAAGTAGAAGTTAACAAGAATTCACTAAGTAGTAGTCATTTCCTTTTTGACAGTGTTGCTATATCAATAGAACAAAGACATCTAACAAAGTGCATCTGCTATTTGTTTGCAGCTGCATCTGGGAGAAAGGGCTCACTTTTTCTCATCTTTCAATTGGGGTGAGGGTGAGGGTACCCTTTTCTAATTCTTATAAAGGTGCCATGCACCTATGCACACTAGGCTGCTGTCCAGGGACAGGGAAGAAAATATGCCTAGGAAACATGGGTCCTCAGTTGATAAGAATATGCAACAGCATGAGAAATCTGTGTCAGTTGGCAGTGGAAAGTACCTGAACACAAGAACTTAAATGAATACAGAACTGGATTTGCAGAGCATGTAAAATTGGGAGATAGAATTTCTCAATTATGCCCATAGTACCCAACATATCAACAAGCTAAAGAGGCCAAATTTAACACAATAAAATTCACTAGAAGCACATGTAAGTGTTGAACACAAACTACAATGTCTATTGGTTGGAGAGATGTAGCAGCGATTCTGAAAAACAGTTTACCACTTTAGGGTTTTAGTAGATTGTAATATAAGAATCAATGGGGGTAATATAATTAGAAGAAAAATATAGTAATTAGAACAAAGCATTTAACATCATTCTACTCTTCCATTTGGATGAAAGCTTTAATTCAGTTCTTGAGATAAGGTTTTGAGAGGGATCTTGGCAAAGTCCAAAGGATAAAGAAACGTTGATGGAGGTGGGTATTTACCTAGACAAACTGAGGCATTCTTCTTTAGAACCAAGGCTACATGCACCCTGTAGATTCAGAAGGCAGAATTACAGATTTATGGAGACATACTGTAATGGGGGCTCTTTCCAAAAGTGGATGTCATCCAGAGGCAGATTTCCAAATCAMGCAATGGTAAATGACAGTAGGTACTGCCTCCTGTACAGAATTCTCAATACTGATTGTGAGTTATAATCAAGTGAAAAGAGATTTTAAAATGTTGACCCTGCTGATGCTTAGATCCTTCCCTAGGAATCCTGATTTACTGGTCTAATAAAAAAATTTATAATAGCTGATGATTCTAAGGTATTAGGTTGGAGAATAACTGACTAGAAGGTTACTTTTTGGAGTGAGTGTGGTACTTACTACCTGCCTGTAATCTCAGCTATTCAGGAGGCTGAGACTGGAGGGTCTCAAGTTTGAGCCCAGCCTGGGAAAAATAGCAAGAACCTGACTCAAACAAACAAAAACACTATTTGTTGGGAAGCTAAATAAATTAAACCAGATGTTTTCTCTAAGATATCTTCCAAATTTGAAAAGATAAGTGGAAATTAACAAATGGACTACATACTACTAGGCATTTACACAATTTATCCTAATAATTAGTAGATGTAAATATCTTAGCATTGTGCGTGGCATGTAGCAAACTCTCAATAAATATTAGCCATTTTTAATGCATCCCCTCTGTAACTATTCAGTGGAAGTATTATCTCTCTCTATACTACAGATTAGGAAACGGAAGACTGTAATTAACTTAGCTTTCCACAGTTCACTGTAAATTGCAAAATAAGGATTTGATCATATTAAGACAAATTCTAAGTTCTAGAGCCCTTTCTCTCCTCCACAGTCCATCTCTAACACATAAGAAAATGTGTGCAAATCAGTGATTTACCTGAGTAAACATTTAACAACTTTAAAAAGACCATCCCTCCAGACCTGCTTGTGAGGAATCTTTTAAACGCAATTTCTGAAAAGAAGAGACGTATAAAAGTAGACATCCCCTAATTTTCTAAAAATGTAGCTGGATAGAAGCTCCTTTAGGTTTTTGGAACCTCTGAGGCCAAAGGGAATGGAAGGAGGGGGCCTTTCAGAACTCAAAATAAAGTTCTTGAAAGCAAACAGTGAGAAAAACATTTTCCCCAGTAAAACACCTTCCATTGTAATGAACTGGGTAAATAGCCCACACATCTATCCATCTATCATCTCTGTACAGTTGAGCTTTGGTAGGCTAATTACTGGGGGGGGGGGGGTTACCCCAGGTGATTTCCCTGGTCAGATCTAACAACTCCCTGGGGCCTGGTTGAACTAGGTTGTGTTTGTCTACTTTTAACAAAACATGAGGAAACTTTTCTCCAAAAGGCTGTAAGTACTAAGGTGGCAAATGCTCCACCTGAAGAACTTGGGTAGATGAGGGATCTCCCCATCCCCCTTTTACACACACACACACACACACACACACACACACACACACACACACACCCATGATATAAGATAATGAAATTTCCTCTTGTGAGTTGCAAACATCAAATGCTCTGCTCCCAACCCTTTATCTTTTATGATTAAAATCTGTTCAGTATGCAGGGCTTAGTGCTTCCGGATTTCGTGTATTTTGTGGTACAGTCAAAGCGAGAACTGCTTCTGATTAGGTGATTTCCTTCTCTTTGGGAGTAAAACCGAGTGCGGGAGAAACGGAAAAGTCACTATTTTGGAAGCTGCAGAAAGCAGTAGGTTTGCTCTCTGGGGGCTGCAGGGAAGCATCAGCTCTTCCTCTCTGGCCTCCAAAAGTTATCTTTCCTTTGGGTGGGATCCCAGAGTCGAACCTGAAGCATTTGCGTTCTAAGAAACTATACAGAGCAAGTTAGAGCCAAAGAGGCCTGGCAAGGCAGGGGTGCCTGGAGTCCGGCCGGTGGCGGGGAAGGCCAAGCGCAGCTCCAGGAGGCGAACCCGGGATAAGAGGAGGAGAGCGCAGGGAGGGCCGGAGGTCGGGGTTCGGCCAGGGGAGGGGTCCTAGTTTCCCCTTCCCCATCTTCGCCTCCCCAGGCTCTGCTGACGTTGCGGTTTCCTCCTCCCTCCAGCCCAGCCTCGGCGCCCGCCGCGTACCGCCCTCCGCCCCTTTTTCGCCCACACCCCACCCACCCGCTCTGGCCCGGCTCGCAGTAGCGCCTCCCGAGGCTGCAGCGGCGCATCCCGGGGCGCGGCGCCCCACCGGCACCCATGGCGCGGCGGTCGCGCTGAGGGTTCGGCTCCTAGCGGGCCGGGGGCCCGGGCGCCCTGGAGTAACTGGGGCGGGAAGGAGCTCGAGGCTGAGGGGCGACGCGGGAGAGGACGGAGCCTCGGCTGGGAGCGGTAAGCAGAGGCGCGCGCGCGGGGCGGCCGGGGCGCGTGGTGGGTGCTGCTGTGGGTCCCGAGCCGCACAACTTTTTTCCAGAGTCTCGGGCGGGTTGCCTGCGGGGCTGGCCGGGAGCCTCCGGGAAGCTCAGAGCCACGTCCCTGCTGGGCGCCGCGCGCGCAGCGGGCTGCACGCCCGGGCCCGGCTGAGCTGGACTCCCAAAGGGCGCCCGAGGCGTGAAACCCGAGGCGTGGGCTTCCCTCAAAGGCAGCTGTTAGTCCCTTCTACTCCTTGAATAGCCAGCACTAAGCCTGGCACCCCGTAGGAACCGGGGATCGCTTTTGGTGCATCCGGGCTGCCTGGCCCAGCTGCGATTTCCCGGACGGCCCAGGGGGCTTCGGCTTCTTTCTGCCGGGTCTGGTGGCACAGATTCGTGCACTCCTTTCCCTCCGTATGCGCGCCAGCCCGGTGGTCCTGCGTACCTTTCCTGGCGCTGGCAGGTCGACTTTGTGGCTGAGGAAGCCGAAGGAGCACGTCGCGAGCCTCTCCCAGATGCTGGATTCCAGCGCTCCTTGGCTCCACGGACAATCGGAGAAACTGTTGGTAAACCTCAWCGCCGAGGCGGCCCCAGGCAGGGGGTTGACTCACTGACTGGGAAGCGTTGTAAGCGATGCCACATGGGCTCAGCATCTGTCGCCCTGGAATCTGAGCTGCTTGTGACCTGAGAACTTTTTCGTTTTCATCTTTCATTTAAGCCAGCAACCTCCTGTTAGGCCGGCTGGCATTAAGATTAAAACTCAGTCCACTGCTCCAGAAGTATGAGGTGAACCTCATTTACCTGGAATTCTTTAAGTCAGGAAATATGACATGTTAATTTTCTAGGGACCTTTGCGAAATAAAGTTCTTTTAAAACTTTTTCCCCTCCTCATGCTTTAGTTTATATTACATTAAATTTGAAATAAATATAGATTCTCACTTATAAATATTTTCATTATGTTTTGCAGTATAGAATTTAACCTTTCAAGAATTCCCTTTTTGATTTCTCAATAAATGGACAATCTCTATGAAATGAAATATTGAGATTAAATATTTTATAGAATATTCAGATKGTACTACTAAATGGGGTCACAAAAATGAAATGTGCATGGAAGAAATATAGGATTATTTATGAGTGTGACATGTTTCTTTTTTCCTTTAAGTTTGCTATACAGACATAAGACCTTTGGTGGAGTATGTAGGTGAGATCTGTTTTTAAAAAACAGAAAATTGAATTTGATGTCTCCCTCACCTTGTGACCCCCTGTGTGGGTTTAGGGAAAATGCAAGAGAGGGCTGTTAAATAAAGGAACATACAGAGGTACATGAGAAACAGCTCTAGCCTTCTTGGAACTGCAAAGTAGAAAGAAAGAAAAACATATGAGCAGCCCTTCAGAATTTGAGTTTTTTTCATTGACAGGTATATGATGTCAGTATCAGTTTCATTAAGTTTTAGTTAAATAGTAACAGTGGCCTACAAATCACATTCTAATATTCATATTTAAAAATGATAGTACAGTCACCCAGGAAAAAGGGGACTCTTGGGGGGGAAAAAAGAACTAGACAAAGAGGGAATTTTGCAGCAAAATACAATATGGGCTTTTGCATGATGGGGTAGATTCCTTTCATGATCCTGCTGGGTAGACAGTGTTTTAAGTTCCTTCCTATGAGGTTGAGGCCTAGTGGAGGGAAAACACTTGCTAAGAAAAATCAGCTAGATTTGTCAGGTAAGGTCAGAACCATCTTAGTGACTAATCTTTGTGTGTGCATTTACTTCAGTATTTGATGAAAGTAGTTCAACAGTAAGTTAGAACTGTGCATTTTAGTGAGATGGTATGTCCAGTCCAATATCTGGTAGTACTGCTCTGGGAGAACCTGGTRGACATCCTGAGATGAAGTTCTTAACTTCACAGATGTTTCCCAGTGCTTCATTTAAAAAATCTTGTTTTGGGCTGGGGTTGTGGCTCAGCCGTAGAGCGCTTGCCTAGCATGTGTGCAGCCCTGGATTTGATCCTCAGCACCACATATAAATAAATAAAAATAAACATATTTTAAAAAATCTTGTTTTAATCACTGAGAAAGTATTTTGTGATCATAGATGAAAATGCATTCTGCAATTAACAAAATGTTGCTTTATACATTTCTTAATGTTATTTGTGATAGTCTACTTTGTTTTTTATTTCTACTTTCCTTGGATCACTGTGTGTTGCATGAAAGAAATTATACAAGTCTCAATCTGTGTCATGATTTTAATAAAAGACTGGAGAGGAAAAAAGGAAGGTAAAATATTTAAACTGAGGTTTTAATAATGGGTAATCTTTGTTTTCAAAAGAGTTAAATAAATTATCAAAAGATGATATTTTTGTAGTTGAAGCATATATAAAATATTACTTAAGACACTAGTACGTTTGTAAGTATAGCAGATATTCTTATACCTTTTCATCACATCCACAGCCTCCTAAATTAAAAAGAAAAATACTATTATTGTTGTGGGATGTGTTTGTGGCAGTCCTTGGAGGAGAAGCAGAAGCTTTAGTAGAGGGAACTTCATCATAGAGGACACGTGATTCCCTTTACAGAGAGGAGCTGATCTTTGTTATTATGAAGGAGTGAGTAAGGTACCTGAGGAGCTTTCAGGAGCAGCAACCTTACTGAAAGAATGTCCAAGTGAAGGGCAGGGTTTTGTTTTTGTTTTTGTTTTTGTTTTTGTTTTTCCCCTAACAGTTCTTATTACTATATTAATTGCCTTAAAGTTTTCTTATCTTGGAATTACAGTATCTTCCCCTATAGTGATTTATAGAATAAAACTCTGGAGGCCACAAAACTACCAGAAAATGTTTGGATGGCACAACAGAATTCTGTAGATCTGGAGTTGGTGCCCAACCAGGGAATGAGACAAGTGCTAAGCTCAGAATTTGGAAAAGGGAAACTGTTTTCCTGTGACATTCATACCCTGAATTAGTGAGAGAACGGGAAGTAGAGATTAGAATATCAGATTCCTGAGCTAAGGGTACATGTTTCTATTTGGTGATAGCAGAAATGAGAAATGATGTTTCAAAAAGTCTTTTCAACTCTACTGCTGAATTTTAACTGGAAATTCCCTTTTGAAAATTAGACTTTATATTAAGTGAATAATATTTTTGATTGAAATAATTATTCTTTAAAGCAAAATTTTCTATGTATATGATAAATAAATGTGATCCCAAATTCTGATCTTCTAACTTTAGTTGTTTTACAATTCTAGTTATTTATAGAGGAGTGGCTGAGGTAGCTCATGGTGAAGCATTTAAAAAATAATTAAAGTAGAAGAGAAATAGAAAGTATTGTGAATAGAATAAAGAGGGGCTATTAGTATCAATAAACTCACACTTTTAAACCCATGTGCATTTAGACAGTTGAAGGAAAGGAAAAGTCCCTGATAGATGATACAAAATACTTGTGTACACAAATACTTAATTGCATTTCAAATTGACTCGGCATTCCTCCCCCCTCATCAAAGAATGCTAATAATGTTATATTTTAGCCTAGTGGAAGTGAAGGGTGATGTAGAACAGGTGTCTTATCTTCATTTTGGTAGTGTGGAAATAGAAATACTGAATGTAAGTCTTGTCTATCATTTTACAAGTAATTAGTAGCGCAATTTAAACATGAAATTAACATAAATTGCACATTTAATGCTACTTTTCTCTGTTGTGACTCCAAATTCATATTATTAAAGACTCTTAGATTTCATTTTCCTATTCATCTACTTTATTATCCCTTTTATTACTCACTGCTGCTCATGAACTGTCATTCCCCTAGAATGTTTATGTGCTTCCCAGGCTTCTGTAACTGACTGTTTACAGACTGCCTTTCTGCAGCCCCCAGCTCTTCCACTCTTCTGTATCTCTCCTTGTGTCTTGTAAGGATTCCTTGTTGAGGCCTCTTCTAAATTCCTGCAGAGTCCTGGGCTCATCTCTCCATTCTCATTAGCTGGCTTCTGACTTTTACTGTCCTTGCTTTACCAATAGTGTTGCCATATGTAGGCAAGCTGCAGCCTGTTGAGGGTGTGGATTCCAGATCCTCTTTCACATGCCCAGAAGAGTATAAACCTGCTGGAGGAGCAGCGAGCGTTCAGAAAGCCTGTTAGAGATTTCAGAAGAGGAAGGGAATGATTTTAATTTAGAAAGAAAAGATTGTTGAGGCTATTTACTTCTTGAAAGGAATAGTTTGTTCAGTTCTTAAATCACAATACACTGTGAATTTTAATGTGTATTATAATAATCACTGAACTTCCTTCTATTCATTTTATCTTTCTTAGAATATTCTGTAAATGTGATCTTGGTGAATGTTGTCATCAAATGTTAGAAATTATGAAAGAACAGAACTTCCCTCTTCAGTAATACATAGAATCTACAGACAATATTGATAATAAGCATGATTTTCCTTGGCATATACATTTGGGAATAGCTACAACCATTAGTCATGTTATAAAAAACGTTAACAAAAGACATTTATGCAATTAGATTTTAATTACACATACATGACATATTAATTATGGGTTGTTTGTATCTTATCTGTTTTGTCCTAGACAGGGTCAGAAAGAGTTTGCCACTACATGAATGTGTGTGCACTTTAAGAAAACCCCAGAAAAACAAAAAACTTTTTGGGGGGTATATATATAGAATTAATATTACCTCTCTTCTCCCCAATTAGTGTGAAAGATAGTAAGTAGGGTAATTATATTAAAATACTAGTATTTTAAGCTAGCATTCTTACTCTTTTAGTAGTAATTTAATAGATCCACATTCAAATTAAAAAGGTGTCTTTACATCTTTCCATTTGAAATACTTATTGCATATCTCTCTATATCTACTTGTATACCATAGAGTTATAAATTGTGTTTGTTGATTAAATCTGGCATTTGCATATTTTTTCATGTACAACAAACAGCTCCTAAGCAACAGGCATTTAATGCATGCAGAAATTATACCACAACAAAG